AACACAAAAATTTGCACAAAGGCGGCAGCCATGTTGTGTCAATTATCGGAAGTACTAAGTACCAAGTTCGTTTTGTTGTGTTGGTACCTCAACGTTTTTCTGAATGTTGGTACACTGAATGTTACGAACTCCATACAAAATAATGTTTGTTCTAAGTTTCACAAGACTGATCACAACAACCAAATTCAAAAGTAAAATGTTTACTGATTTGTGATTGGTTCGTTCCGCCTGTTAGTTGTCAACAGTGTCAACTTGACACAGCGTTTTATTTCACTTTGAGCATTTCACGAAAAATTAAATTATAAGTTTCAAAAATTCAAATAGTGATCAATATTTATTTCACATCCCTCATTTTTACACACAATTTTATATGCAAATTATATACAAACATAATCATACATCTTATTACATTACACATTTTTTCACCAAAACCAAAAACTGACTATGCGTAACTAGAGTAACACCGAGTATTTATCCGTTTCTACCATAGATTTATAAATATAACATCATACTCTTATCATATCAGTGGTTTCTACACAAGTATTGATACAAAAAACTAAATAATTACATACCCAATATATATTTAGAACATTTATTTATCCGAAAAATTGTCCATCTCTATTCGAAATTGAATATTAATAGACATGTTTATAGTATTATTTCATAATTATTATCAAATCAAGGCATCATTCACTCTTAATATTCTCACTGTTTAATTGATAACATATTGATACCAACAACCCAAGTCATGCGAATCATGTTGTTGCGATGACAGTTCGGCATTGGGCATCCCTAAAATATTGAGTGCTTGTATCGCTGCGCTTGTCGTATTTCTTTTTCGTAGACGGTTTATATAGTTAAGTTTCCACAAATAAGTATTAGCACAGCAATAATTTATTAGCTTAAACTTACATTTCAAATATTATTTAGTGTCGTAGTTAATAAATGTCATAAATATGGCGCATTTGCAATACATGCCCGGGGATCCGCGTCTTGTCGATCAACTCGTTTATGAATTAAAATCGAAGGGTATATTTGATCAGGTAAGTGAACTATTTAATAATATTAGCAAACCCTGCTCCTAATGATGCATGTAGGGCCGAAGTCGCCATTTTTCGCTGACCTTGTGTGTCCCTTGTCCCTTTCTTCTAACACATTACAACTACCAATAACTCAATATTAATTCTCAAATACAGCTTGTTAATAAAAAATAACACCCTAAAAGCTTCCTTACTACAACATATTGTCTAATTTAAGTCATGAAAACTTCTAAAAGATTGGATTATTATAATATGCTGTATCTTGACTTTAATACCATTCAATTAAAAATAAAAATGGTTGATTTTGATTATATTGAAGAACTAACCACTTTCAATATTGAATGATTTTTATGCTTAGATAATACTTAAAACAAATAAATATTAATTACTTACAACAATTGCTTTAGGTATTTTACTGAAATTCAATTTTATCAAAAGAAATGACATATGCTGTGAAAAAAAAACAAAGCAAGTTCTAAATTCAATCCTATTAATTACTATTTATTCTTGTATTAACTACTAAAATTAATATCTAAATACTAAGTTGAATCATAATTATATTACCATTGCAACTGCATCAGTTAATGTTGGGGCAACCTTTGAAAGAAACTGCGTGAACCATCTAATGAACCAAAATGTTCTTAGAATAGCATTCTATTCTAAAATGAAAATTATTCTTCATAAAATTAGTTGAGCTGTTCATTTAATACAATCAAAAAGCTTACTTATCTAGAAATGCATATGAAGATCAATAATTGTTATGCACATTTACTTTTAAAGTTGTAAACAATACTTTTTTAATAATTCAGATGATCAATAACTGCTAAGTTGTTAGGTTAGGTTACTTGCTTATCAGTTATATTCAAGTGGGCTGTGAGTTTTAATTGCCCACATCTATTTTATTTTATTAAGAGGAACAGCAAATGGGTACATTATAAAGTTTTGCTTATAACATAGTTTACACATGACTGGTTGCCATTAGAATGTAATAAATACAGAAATTAACTAAAAATTGTGGTATAATAAAGAAACTAAAAGCATAATATTTGACTAGCTGGCTTACTCCAAGTTAATGGTATATTAACCCAGTTTTCTGAACAAAAAGGTTACTATGGAATAGTTTAAGTAGTCATTAAATATCTTTGATGAGTATGGCTATAAATCAGTGGATATGTATAATGTGTAATTGTTTGTGTTTGAGTCACTAAATATATCAACGCTTGTAATCAGTATGCTCGCAAAAATGTATGAAAAGAATAAAATTATTATCATATTTATTAATACTATATACAAATATAACCATATAGCCCTAAAGAGTAGTAAATAGAAATGAAAAATTCAATGAAATGTCTCATGTCTGTTTGTGTATTCATTTTATATATAACCTTACTTTTGTAGTAGTCATATTTCAATTTCAAACAAAATAAATATATACCATAAAGCACAATTACCTCTCTATAGTCCCTACAATAGGTTTTACCATAATTATGCAAATATGAACCAGAAATTATTAGTGCTATATTTATTTAACTATATGCAACAAGAGTACATAGGCGCCTAGGCGGGCTTAATGCCATGGGCGTTCTTACTAGCCAACCTTTCTTTGCTATATCATGGTCAAAACAATTTGTTCTTTTTAAATTGATTTTTAAGTAAGTAAGTAGCTCGGATTTTTTTACATTTAAACATTTTAGTTACTGCACTGACTTTATAATAAATCATTACACTAAAAGTTATGTGCATGTAAAAACATGATGTATGATTGTAATTGCTGCTTATGTTCAATAATGTTACTTTATTTTAGATACATATAAAGTGCAAGCAAAATAAAGTGAACCAGCTTAACATTGGTTTAGTTACTTTTTTATACTTGGAAGGTAAATGTGTGGCCACCATCTCGCCTGGTGGTAAGCGATGATGTGACCGATGATGGAGTATGCCTACCTAAGAGCAACCTGTTCACCCAGGATTTGGAGACACCCAAGTTACATTTGTGGGGAAGCATTTACTTATTTTGGAATTTATCCTGCATTTGAATAAATTGTTGTTGTAACCAATGTTTCATGATAATTTTCTTTTTTGCCATTTTTTAGCCAAAAATGTAGATAACTAGATAATACTTATGTATCAACAGCTCTTGTAGTATACTTTAAATAATTCTCTTTTTAACTGTATTTAAAATGTTCTATTGTTGCTCTTAAAACCAATTTTTACTAAATTATTTCTGATAAGTTCTTTTATCAATTTGATTATTACAATGTTGTATGTAATGCAAAACATTGTTCAGTTATATGCAATTATCAATTTTGTGCTTGGCGAAAATACTTTTAAATATTATTTATATTTAAACTACAGATAAAATTATTGATATATTATTTAATTATGACTGAAACTGGTCACCATGGAGTTAAATTGTTGAAACTCTTTGTTTTTAATATTCATCAATGGATCTGACTGTGTCATTAAAATCTTAGATAAAATTTCATACTACATTAACTATATCTATCTAACAACATCGAAGTAATAAGAAATAACCTTGTTTCCAGTTCCGTAAGGACTGCATAGCTGATGTGGACACTCGCCCAGCGTACCAGAACTTGAGGCAGCGTGTTGAGAACTCTGTGTCCTCATTCCTGTCCCGGCAGTGCTGGAAGCCAGACCTCAACAAGAATCAGCTTCGGGAGAAACTTAGAAAACATATCTTGGAGTAAGTCATTGTTATATTGAAGTTGTAGACTAGTTTGCTATTGCAATTCTATGTGACAACAGACATGGATATTGTTATGAGTAACCATGTTGACTTGTTTTGTGACTAAACTTAAATTGATCAAAATGAATGTTAATAATCCAAGTAGGTGAATGAGTAAATATGAACCCATCACATGGTTGTAATATATCTATACTCAAGACTTTATTTTTCCTAATTATTCTATAAGAGATATCCTAATATACGGAGAAGATTAATTAAATCTATAAAAAAATTGATTTTAAAGTACAACATAAAAGCCAAATAACTGTAGTTCTTTTAGGAATGGATGGATGGAGTTTTTTTACAAGAATATACTTTAATACTTTAACTTAAAGCGTATCCTTTTTCATTACAGTGGTAACTACCTAGAACAGGGTGTAGAAAGAATCGTCGATCAGGTGGTAAACCCAAAAGTGGCGTCAGTATTCATACCACAAGTAGAAGACCTGGTATACAACTACTTAGGTGTACCTAGAAAGAAAACAAGTGCAGAAACATCAAACGGGAAAGTGGGTGCGGATGATCTCTTACCGACAGATTTGGAAGCTGTCAGTCCTGGATCAGTCAAAAGCAACGATGACAAGTTTGAAGATATGGACAGAGACCTTGAAGAGAATAAGATGGAAATAGACAATGTAAAAGATGAAGAGAAACCTTCAGTTTCAGAAATTGAAAAACCCAAAGTTGAAGACATGCAAAACAATGTTAATGAACTCACAAATGATTCTGATATGGAGCTAGATAAGTCACATGACGATATAAAGCTAGAAAATATTCCGCCTCCTGACAATAGTCCGCCGAAGGTAGAAAATGAAAATATACAACTTGAGAACATTGAACTTCCTAAAGAACCGAACACACTTTTGGAAGCACCTCACCCTGATGAAATACCCCTTCCGAAAGATGATAAGGATCACTTCTTCAAACCTGTAGGTGTTAATAGTGATGATGATTCAAGCAGCGACTCGTCCCTGCGAAGGAACATGTCTCCATTAACTCCAATCAGAAATTACAATAACGAAAATTCTTGTGATGCCCAGCAGGCGTTCGAGAATGATTCAGATAGCAAAAGTAACGATGTAAAAAAGGAACCAAGTTCGTTTAGGTTCGCCATAGAGGCTAAATCTCCAGAACAAAATAGTTTGGAAGCAAAACCAGAAAAGAAAGATAGTGAGCAAGCCAACTTGGCGTATCAGTTCAACAATCAAGTGAATATTAACACGACACACACCTTCAACACGCCGGTATATGACGACAGTTCAAACAGCAACAATTTACAAATAGATTATGAAAGTGATGTTAACAGCAAAAATAACGCAGAGAAAGTACCTGAAGCTGACCAGAACTCTGAAGACAAAAGAGATAAAAAGAGTGACGATAGGAAAAGTAGTCATAAGAGCTCCCACAGATCCAGGGATTCACA